TACAGAAAGGCATATAAATCATTCTACTATAAAAACACATGTATGTGTATGTTCTTTCCAGCACTATTCACAATAGCAAACACATGGAATCAACCTAAATGCCCATCAACAATAAACTAGATAAAGAAAATGTGGTACATACACACCATGGGATAATACGCAACCATAAAGAAATAATAAGATCATGTCCTTTACAGCAACACAGATGGAGGTAGAGACCATTATCCTTAGCAAACAAACACAGGAACAGAAAAGCAAATACTGAATGTTCTCACTGACAGATGGGAGCTAAACTTTAAGTACATATGGACACAAAAAAAAAGTAGCAAGAGACACCAGTGTCTACTTGAGAATGGAGTATAGGAGGAGGGTGAGGATCATAAAACTACGTATTATGTACTATTATGCTTATTACCTGGATGATGAAATAATCCATACACCAGATCTCTGTGAAATGTCATTTACATATAACAAGCCTGCACCTGTGTCCCCAAACCCAAATGAAAAACATTTTTAAAAAGCACAGATATGTCAAAATTTACTTAAGGACTAGCATTTTTTAGTAGTCCTATACATATTAAGATTTTGGAATTTGTATCCTTCCCACAAAAACAACTCCATGCCAGATGGTTTCACTGATTAGTTTTATCAGATGTTTCAGGAAGAAATAATATGAATCTTACACAGACTTTGTCAGGAAACGGAAGAGGAAAAAATGCTTTCCAGTGCATTTTACAGGGCCAGTGTAAACAAATACTAAACCTCGAAAAAGCATTTCAGCAAAAGAAAATTACAGACCAATATCCCACATTAACGTGGATACAAAAAATCATTAATAAGATAGCAAGTTGAATCCAGGAATATATTAAAAGCATTAGACATCAAAACTAAATAAATAGGCTTTATTTTAGGAATATAAGATTGATTTGACATTTGAAAATCAACCATTGTGATTCAACACATTATAAGAAAAAAGCAGAAAATTTATATAAGATATTCAAGTAGATACAGAACAAAAAGAATGTTACAAAATGTAACATTCTTTTAAAAAATCTCTAAAAACCCAGAATAGAATGCAACCTCCTGAACTCAATAAAGGGCATTTATTATAAATTTACAGCTATCATCACATCCAGTGGTGAAAACCTAAGATTATAAGACTGAGAGCAAAACAGGAATGTCCACTCTCATCACTCCTGTTTAGTATTATGTTGGAGCTGTTAGCTAGTACAATGGGGCTAGAAAAAGAAACAGACATAAAAATGACAAAGAAAGCACTAAAATTGTCTCTGCAAGATGACATGATAGCTACATTTTCAAGATTCTACCAAAAGGAAAACAACTAGAGTTTATACTGAATTTAGTAAGGTGGCAAGATACAAGTCCAAATTCCAAAAATTAATTGTGTTTTCATATACTAGTAACAAACAATTGTAAACAAAAATTTTCATTATTTTTACAAAATAATATGAAAGGGCCAGTCATAAAGTTAATGAAATACATGGAATAACTCTACAATGAAAACTATAGACTATTTCCTAGATAACTGAGAAAAAGATTAAATAAACCAAGTATACCATATTTGTGGATTAGAGGCTGTAATAAGATATCCATTCTTCCCAAATTGATCTATAGATATAATACAATCTCAATCAAAATCTCAGACTCTTTTTGTAAAATTTATATAAAAATGCAGAGGACCTATAATTGACAAAACAAACATAAAAAAGAATGTTAGATTATTTACACTACCTGATTTAAAGGCACACATCCAATGTAATTAAGGCCACATGGTGTTGGCTTTAGGTTAAGATGTAGAGATCAATGCAACAGAAAAGAGAATCTATAAATCCCACAAAAAAATCATTGTCAATTGATTTTTGACAAAAGATCGAATTAGTGGAAAAATTACAGTATTTTCAATGAATAACCCTGAAAATAAATCTGAAGATTTCAGGGTTATTCATTGAAAATATTGTAATTTTTCCACAAATACTGAATATTTGTGTAGAAGCAATGAACCTTGATCCCCATGTACTAGGCCCAAAACATAATGTGGCATGATCATACACTTAAAAGTGTAAGATAGAACTGTATAAATTACAGAAGAAAACATAGGAGATCTTAAGGTAGGCAAAGATTTCTTAGCTAGGATTTTTTTAAGTACTAATCATAAAAGGAAATATTGATAAATTGGATGTCACCAAAATTAAAAATCATCTGCTCTTTAAAAGACATCACAAAAAATATGAACAACAGGCTCAGGGAAAAATATGAGCAACAGGCTGAGGGGTCTTTTCAAAAGTTCCCCAACAAAAGGACTTGATAAAAGTATATATAAAAATCATACAACTCAAAAGACAAACTACTGAATTAAAAACTGAGCAAAGAATGTGAACAGACGCTTTACAAAGAATATACAAATGGCCAATAAACACATGAAGATGTTTGCCATCATTAGCTGCTAGAAACATGCAAATTAAACCAACAGTGGTACATTGCCTAAAAATAAAAACACAGGGCTCAAGCCTGTAATCCCAGCACTTTGGGAGGCCAAGGTGGGTGGGTCACGAGATCAAGAGATAGAGACCATTCTGGTCAACATGGTGAAACCCCGTCTCTACTAAAAATACAAAATATTAGCTGGGCATGGTGGCGCGTGCCTGTAA